TGGCGGCCAAAATTATTAGATCACCAAAGAAATTCGAATTAAAATTTCTGTCGATAATTTTTTGCAGGTGAATTATTTTTTCTTTGAATCTACAGCAATCATGTTTGTTAACTAAACTTCATTTCAAGTTTTTTTTTATCGCAGTTTCTTTACCTGTAATAAAGAATTATCAGTTTGAATATTTTCAGGTCAGTTTTAATTTTACCTTAAACGGTTAAACACTGATTTTGTTTTCCTTATTTTTCTTTAAAACTTAAAAATGAATGTTCACGGTCGAGTTAGACATGCATTATCGTTGGAGGATTGTGTTAGGGCGTTAACATTAATGGAGGAAGGTCGTAGTCAGCGATATATCGCAGAAAGGCTTGGCGTGACCCAATCTGCAATTTCTTATGTTCTAAGAAGACATAGAGAGAATGGTAATCATCACAGAAGACCAGGTCAGGGTCGTAGACGCGTTACCAATGCCGCCCAGGATCGCTACATGGTTCAACAAGTTCTTCGAAACCGGACATTAACAGCTCCTGAGGTGCAAAATTCGGCTAGAAGGACTTATGGAATCCAAATCAGCTCAAGAACGATAAGAAGACAGTTAAGGGAAAGAAACCTGACGTCACGGATCCCAGCTAGAGGGCCGCGTTTGACCGTAGGGCATCGGAGGAACAGACTTCAATTTGCAAGAATGCATGTTAATTGGGAGCCGGCCGATTGGAATCGAGTTTTGTTTACCGACGAGTCAAGATTTTCCCTGTACCATTCAGATAGACGCGTTCGAGTTTATTGGAGACCTGGAGAACGGTACGCACAGTGCAACTTCATTGAAGACATTCGTCATGGTGGAGGCAGTGTTATGTTTTGGGGAGGCATCTCTTTGGGAGGACGTACGGAGCTCGTGGCGCTTCAGAGGGGTAATATTAATGCTGTCCGATACATGTCGGACATTTTTGAACCTCATGTAGTGCCATATGCTGAAAACTTTGGTGCTGGCTTCATTTTTATGCAAGATAATGCACGGCCACACA